CCGCTGGGTTTACGCGAAACCGCGGAACGAAACCGCCATGGCCGATTACCGATCGAGCTCTCCCGCCTCTCGTTGCAATTTTTGCGCAGATCGGGATATCCGGTTTCTGGTGGAATCGTTGGTCGAACAGTCGAACGTGCGCCTGTCGCGCGTTATTTGCTTTCCAACGCCTGCTGCAACGCTCGCGACCCCTTTCTTCCCGTTCTTTGTTCTCTCGTAAACGTCCCGGTTGTTTTGAGCGTCGAACCGACCGTTTGCCCGTGGAGAATTTTCAACGATCTTACCCTCGCGGAGGCCACGCTCACGTTCTGCGATGACACCGGTTCTCAGAGTGCTTTCTGCGTGAGCGAACGCGACACGTACCATGCGAACAGGCCTAACGCGTTGCGACGTGAGTACGCTTGGAAATGTTAACACGGATTGCTGCAAATTCGAGATTAATTCGAGCTCGTCCAAGTCGATAGAGAGGAACTTTATTTCCGAAGTGGTTGTTTAACTCTTTGTCTGCCGCGGACGGATATAGACGTTCATAATTATTCCAACGATTTCGATGGTCGGTGGACGACGGCTGAATAATTCAGACGCGAAATAGGTACAATCGAAACCGAAGATAAGCTGAAAATAGTGCTCGTTGTTTTAATAAAGGCCTCGTGTTGATCACGGCAAGGGAATAATACGGTGAGAGTGAATTATCAAGCTTGCGTCGTTGAAATAATTATGAACGGTTCTGTACATAGTTCGTAAATTTATATACCCCGATTTTAGTGGATTTAAATGTGGTATTGCGAGCTGGGAAGGACTCTAACAAAGGAGATAGTAGATTGAGAACGATAGCTAGGCGAATAGGTATGTGATATTACAAGGAGAGTGCAAGTCCTTCGGGTCATAGCTTTAATTGAAACTTTGCAGGTTCGTAGATTTAGTCAACCAGTTCAAGGAAATGTACCGTCATAAGGGCCACTACTCGATAATTTTTTAGATATTTACGATTATAGCTTTATTATTCTTAACTAGAGATTTCTTCTGAATAGTTATCGATAGTTATCAAGTGGCATTGTGGCCTAACAGCAACATCCGAAAATTGCCATCAGCGTGGGAATTTTCGGATATCGCTATTGTGAGTTTGCTGTTGAACAATTATATATTTATTACAAATTATAATATACACAAGTCATATTTATGATTAAAGTTTTATTATTCTTGAAACAAAGGGGTTAAAGTGTTGGATCCATATTATCGACGATTTTAAATCGCGACATCTGTTAATTGTTTGAACATATTGTATTGCGTGAAGTGTGTACTTACGTGTACGTGTATATTGTGTATATCAAGGACCTGGAATGGTAATCGAGTCAGTCCGTATTGAGAATTCGTATAGAGCAATTGTATAAATATATCGTGAAAGAGTAATACCGAGTATATTATTTTTCTACTCGGTATATTCACTGTGGCACAATATTACAACATAAATACGTTCTGTATTTCCAGAAGGATCCTAGAACCCCTGCATCCAGCCAAGAGGATTCGTGCTCCCTCTCGGAACTCGATCTGTTAAATCCGAGGTAGCATTTAGATTTCCTGGCAAATACGAACTTTAACGAACGAGGGAAACGTGTAATCGATCTTTCACAGGTACTCCTGCCGCAAGCCCAGGTATCAGCCTCGTAATTCGAAAGGAACGCAGAATAATTCATCGTACTTGCTCGGAGATCCAACGAGGGACACTGATCGCTGTTGCTGCTTCGCGAGTTACGACCACGTCGAAACCAAATTACGTAAGTGATGTAAGTGTAACTGGAATGCAAGTATGCAATTTCACGCGCGTTAACTCACGCGTTAGTTAACTTCGAATGCGTTTCAGAGGCTAGAAAAATAGTGAAAGACTCCGGGAAGCATCGCTGGTCGAGCCTGCAACATTTCCCCGGGTATGACCATCGGAGAAAGCATGAGGTAACTCGTCGAACTAACAATAGCTGTCATTCCAGTTCGCCGAGCAATTGGCCATTCGCGAAAAAAGACGACGCGAATTATTAGAAATAGCCTAATGCCAGCGCGACGGAATCATATTTATACCGTATTTATAAGCTTCCATTTGCGTCACTCGACGTCGGGTATCGGGCTTTTCCGATAAAAATACCCACTATTCAAAAGTGTTTCGAGGTACATTTCGAGCTCCAAAGTATATACTTTTTCTTCTAACAGTATCGATAGCTGTATCGATGTCCGAACTCGCTTTTCCGAAGAATTTAATCCGACTAATGAACAACGACGCGCGAAATGATCGGCAAAAATAGCTCGCGGGGAGAAATAGCCGACAGAGACGAAATGAAACTTGTTTCAGGGACGCAAAACTCGCTGAACTTCCATTTGAGTTATTTCTATCGTCCCGTTGTAGTATCGATATGCTTTGGAGTTTCTCGAATTTTCCCGTTCGCCATTTCTTTGCGAAAATCGGGTGCACTCGAGTACTAAATCGTCGTATCGAAGTAGGTCCTGTGTTACCTAATTCCATCCACATATTTCTCAGGTAACCTTTGCCACGGAGAGATCTTCCAGCGGCGATAAGGATCTCAACGGCAAATCTCCGACGAAACTTGGGTAATTATCCGAAACGAAGCGAGTCACGTGCACGTTCTTAAATCGCGTATGATTCTAACGCGAATCGTTATTACACCTAATGCACTCCCTTGACAACAGGAGAGGGAAGAGTACGCCGCGTATTATCCGGGCGATTCGTCGACGCAGTGAAAAATGTAAGTTGACCATCTTAGTATCATATTCAATTCGTGCGTTCGAGTTTTGGGAGTGACTATATCGCTATCGCACTGTAGCATATCAATTTCACGGTATTCAAAAATTTTTTAAATATATGCAATATTTATTATTGTATACTCCTCCTAAAATTCCACAAGCAAGAATAATTTTCCAAGTAATTACCCTCATACGATTCTACTATAAATAGCTTTTCATTAGAAATAAAAGCTGCCTACCTCGATACTTCATTCAATACACGTGTTCGAGTTTTGGGGGTGACTATATCGCTACTGCGCTATAGCACGTCAATTTCATAGTATTCGAAAATTTTTTAAACACATACAATGCTCACGTATTCATTTTAAAATTCCGCGAGAAAAAATAATTTTCCAAGTAACTACCCTTATACGATTCTATAGTAAATAGCTTCTGATTAATAAATCGTGGAAACAGAAGAACCTCGTTTCTTACTCGGTTTTCTCGTTGTTTATAGCGGTTCCATGACTGCGGTCAACCCCAAGGCCCGAAAACGCGCGAACTCTTTCGCGTCTCTCGATCCGCTGTCCCCGATTCCATGTACTTCTTCCTCTTCGCGTTGTTCCTCTTTGTCTACGTGTTCCTCGGCAAGGATCGCGTCGATTCACGGGTGAACAGAAAGGGGACGGCGACTCGAGCAGCGGCCCCGTAGCCGGAAATCGCGCGGCCAGCATCCTCGCAGAGAGCACCCCTTTAATCCCGGGCCGTTCGTAGTCGAGCCGGACGAGGATCGATTGGAATCCCCGCGACCCGGAAACAGCAAGAGTAGCGTTGTCGTTCTGTATTACGAGAAATCAGTCGTGCCAGCCGCAACAACCCCCGAACCACCCCTCAGAGCCGCCCAGTCGGAACGAGCTGTTCCGCGAGAACCGAGTCCATCGGTGCCGCACACTGCTCGATCACCGCGCCAGGAGAGGTAATTATGATCGTCGTGACAGTCGATACCGTGGTTGGCGTCCTGTTTGCTCGATGTTCAGGGTTGCAGTTGTCGAGGAGTATAGAGAAAATGTTGGAATACTGATTTCGAGGGAAAATTGCGGAATAATTGGACGAGCGACTGTGAGAAATAGGAAGTGAGATTATGTTTCCGCGTTTATGCTTCTCGGAACTCTGTCTCTATTCCAAGATTAATATCCTGCTTAATTCACAAAATATTTGATTCGCAAATCCACCATTCCTAAAATTTAGCCCTTGAACTCTAGGATGATTGTTTAAGTCTTTTCACTGGTTTTGGTTCAGTATTCGTTGCTAGATTATGTTACCGGTATAGTTAATGGCTTCCACGTTTATGCTTCTCGAAAGTCTATCTCTATTCCAAGATTAATATCCTACTTAATTCTCAAAATATTTGATTCACAAATTCACCATTTTTAAAATTTAAAGTCCATGAACTCTAGAGTGATTGCGTATGTCTCTTCACTGTTTGTGGTTTAGTATTCGTTGCTTCTACGAGTCAAGATGATTACTCTCATCGTGGTAGACCTAGTTCAAACTATACCGACCTCACGGGTGACAATCATTCAATATTCAAGCGCGACCATTATCGTCGCTTAAATTTGAGTCTTATCTACTCGATGAAGCAAGTAGTGACCGCGGTCTACAATAATTCACGGTTCTCCCCGAGGAAATAGGATTCACTTAAACCTACCTAGAAATCTTCTTAAGAATCCATGTCTCTGGGACTAATTAAATTCCCAGCAATTTCACCACGCCCACGCGAGCTTAGATCGAAAGGGGATAAGAATTTCTAGGCACATCGCGACAGGATGATCGAATTTTCGGAGGAAATCGAGAAATTTCTGTCTTCTCCTTCGGTGGACAGGTCGAATCTGGTTGAAACTTCGGAAGATCGATCTCCCGTGTACCCAATTGAGCGAAGAAAAGCTACTCTGAGACGACGTCGACGTTTATCGACGCGGCAAAGACCACTCAACGTGCACATTTATCAGAACGGCCGCGTAGCACAGGTCGACCCCTTGTCAGAGGATCACCGTGTCGCGTCGAAGGAGCTGCAGCTGCCTGGACAGAGGTCCGATCGGGATAGATACGCGATCAGGTCTGCGAAAAATTTGATTAGATCGGGAGACTCCACCCGGCAGGACGACGATTCGGATGATCCTGATCGAGGTAGAAGATCGGACAAACAGTGGAAGCACGACAGAATCTTCGGGGAACGATGTCGTCCCTCTGATAATTCCGTTTCCAAACTAATGGCTCGTTCCAGGTAACGAGATTACGTTATCCTTTATCGCGACATTTGTTGCTCGACGCGGACAACTTTGACACGGGAAGTTACTCCGTGTTCTCCATATTGGAGAAAAAGAAATCGGACGAAACGTGTTTTCCCACCAGTTGGACCGCGAAACCGCGAAAGAAATGGTCAATATTATCCGAGGATTAACGAATATGATATTTGCTGGATAATTATAGCCCGTAACCGAAACACTTGATAACCCTCGATAATAATTTCAAATGTCCGCAAATCATAGTTTATAATCATCAGACGTAATATTTGAAAGACCTTACCATTAGCCCCGGCTAATTACAATTTACCATGTATAACGACCCATAATTACATCTACTATCTCTTAATCACTACCTTTATAGATCATCAATTGTGCCCAACGTTAATTAGGAATATACACAACCAACGTCATTCATAATAGACGTTGGTGAGGAGAACGTATGAAATAGCGTTCTTGTTAATAAAATCCAATACTGTAATACCAAACATTAAACCCAAAACCTATTTCGAAAGTCGATAATTATGAAACTGGTCCAAGTTGAAAATTCGAAAAAATTATTTTATCTCATTTTAATTATTTCATATATTGCTTATTATTTAAATATGCAGCTCAAACCATAATATAGCAATTTGACAGATAACGTACAAAATTATTAGCTCGGAATTAACTACAATTACCACACCCTAATCAGACGATAAGAAAATGGTGACACGAGGGAAAAAATAGAAAGTAATAATAAAAATAAAAATAGAAAAGTCAACTTTACACAGTCCAGGAAAAGACGGCGATTGCAGTGAACGCAGAAGAGAAACGATCTGCCCAAACTTGGCCTACCTAATGCAGCAGATGCACGCAAGGCCAAGGGAACGAGGTGACGATCGTGCATTTATTAGCGTAAACGACGGCGACAACTCGAAGCGAGTCTTTCCATTCCAGGCGACCCCGAGCGGTAATCTGAAGATCGTTCCTAATCAGGTAAATGTTCCGGTCGATCGTCGAATCGGCAGCTACACGCCGAACCTAGGAATGTTGGCCTCAAGGCAGACGCATAGTCGTTCTAGGTGGTGTTCGAATCGAAGAAGGTCAGCGTGCTGGTCGCTGATCCGAGGCACACGAAGGTTAACGTCAAGGCCGAGCTGAATAGACCCGGAAACGAGCTCGGTGGACGCGTATCCGAGGCTTCAACGAGACCAAGGCTCATCGATCTTCCTTTAGGTGTATCGTCGTCCACGATCAATCAGTTGCAGGTAACTTTCGTGTCATATCTCTCGTTCGATCTACAGTTAACGGTCGCTGCGATCTATAATCTACCGTCACTTGATTTATCGTTTCGCTTAAAGTATCTGGAAAATTGTCGATCTTCCAGTGACCGTAACTTCGTTATAAGAAATCGCTTAACACTCCATCTAGGCTGATTCCGAAGAACGGAACTTCGACTTGTATAACCCTAAACTGAATTTTTTAAAAACATTTTTACTTTATTACACCCGGTTAGGAACTAGGGGTACCTTTTTCGCGAAAAATCGTAAAAATTTGGACGAGTCTACGGACTTTAAAAAATTTTTTTCGCGATTCACTTTATAACGACTATTTGGAGGAAGGTCTCTTCTTTCCAGTGATATCTAAGAAATTTTCATACGATTTTTCCTCGCAATTTTATCGTAATTTTTGTTGAATACGTTCTGCGGGTATCGATAGTGGAAATCGAAGAAGTTGAGAAACTGATTAAACCCTTTGCCCTACGATTTAAGTTCCTATGATGGGTGTCATAATCAACAGCAAAGTCAATCACAGTCCAACCACGACGAAGAGTAACGCAAAACCAAGACAGAAAGACATAGACGAAAATAAATCATGAACTTGTCACATGTTATTTACATTGGGCTCTTCCTACGAACAACGGCTCTCAAACGTGACACTCGTGTTTGATTCTATTTTCTTACCACGAGTCTCACACGATATTGTCAGCAAAGGTGTTATAAGTCTTTTCCGTTTCTCTTCTTCCTTCTACGATCTCTTTCTCACGATTTTCGTCATTTAAAAGCTTTTTATGATACGTACACACAGCCTCCGAGGAAGCTGCCAGCTTTCGAGGACGACTACAGGCCCAACATGCATCCGTTCAAGTCGAAGCTTGCCCACGCGGAGACGATGGAGCACAAGCAACAGCCGACATCGTCAGGGTCTCACGAAATGCCAGTGTTGCAGGAGGTGCCACTCTCCACGTGAGTTTCGTCAAGCTGTCAAGCATGGGGATCACGCTGACCATCCCCCGTAGTAAACGTTTCTGAACGCGCGAAGGGAAACGGGGTGGACGTAATTTTGCAAGAAAAACGACACGGAGTTTATCGTCGAGAAAGGGACTTTCCATAAAATTGCGTCGACCCCGTATTTTTCTCTCGATCGCGAGAAAAAGCGACTGCTCGCCGGCAAACGGCGTGGCCCGATGTTTCTCCATAAACGTTTGATCGTCGTGTAATTTCGAGCAGACTCGGATTTACGAGTGAGCAGCCAATCGATTGGGATAACATAATTCTCCCGGAGAAGACTGACCTGTATCAGGAGTTAGCCAGGCGTATCACAAATTACAAGTAAGCTTATAGTTGTGCCCGATCGATGTAACGAAGTCGGGTATCAACGACAGGATTACCGGCTAAATTTCATTCGATCGATCTTTCGAGGAACGCCGACTGTATTGTGCGAATCGATCAGGACGAGTTCCATTGCCACCTGCTGGTGTTACAGAGCTATAGCAGCTTCTTCGACGAGAAGAATTGCAAGGAGGTCGATCTCACCGGGGTAAGTTATCGGGGTAAGACTCTTCATCCCCATTTTCCAGCTCGACTGCGAGCCACCGATAATCGCATATTGGTCAAATAACACCAACAAGAGGACGATATATCTTTCCATTCGAAAAATTAAGTATGGAAAAATATCGTATCTGATACAGTAGCAATTTTAAACAAATTTTTAGATTTCTACAATAACTTGTGTTGCGTCCCGAACGCGGCAACTCGCACTGTGAGAGTTTCGCGGGGTTGTAAGGCCCGTTTATGCGGATGCAACAATGTTGCTGGCATACGACCTACTCTAAATTAATAGAGCTAGACCTGGTTGTGGTTGAATTAAAGAGTTCTAATGTGTTACAGTAGTCTCTCGCGCTGAGTTGATCGTTATGGGTCCTGACTGATGGTCTAATCGTGATGTTTATCCTGTTTTCGTGAAATTTTTAGAACTCTCTCGTGATTGTCGTTGGTTTTATAAGTTTCGTATGTCTACTAATTGGTTGGTGTGAAATGTAAATGGTCGATGTATGTCTTCCTGTTGGTTGTGAATAATATTGGGGGTGTGTGATAGCTTCGACGTTTTTCCGTGGTGGTGGATGTTTAAATAATTTGAGCCTTATCCCTATCGTCTTAAGGATGATACATTAAACCTTGTTAAGGTTCACCCAAGTGGTGACTAGGTAGTAACGAGTGTACACGAATGAATGAACGCTGGGAATAAGGATATAAACAGTTCTCCACTTAACTGAGATCGTTCGATCCTGAGGCCGCAACAATGTGTATGATATTCCAAAATAATTTTCAATAATCGGCTAACTGCTCGAATATTTATTTCCAAAAAATCTACCAATTAATCTCTTATACTATCCCCTTATCCAAGTACCTTCACCTTCAATTACCAACGCTCAGCCAGCAAAACCCGATCCATTTATCCGTGTTGGAGGCCGTTCACCAAGCAGAACGCCATCCTGCGAGCGACGGGACGATCTACGCGATTTTTCTTTCCACGTGCTGTCATTTATTCAAGAAAGCACGTTAATATCGCGGACACGCGAACGAAATTCCCCGCAGCTTTCACGAGCACTCGACCGTCATCGATCTTCATCCTTTAACGAGACGCGTTAAACGAGTCGTAACCACGGAACGCGGACGTTTCTTCTGCGATACCCGGAACGTGCTATCGCACTGTTCCACGTGCGATACGATAGCGTTAAGGGCGAGGTAGAGTGGAGAATTTATTACGCGAAGGACGACGATCGTCCCTCGAGTCGGCCGGAAAAAACGACGCCGCGTTATACACGCTTGCACCAGGCAAGATATATTACGGACTTATCGGTACACGGAACAGTCTAGCGGATCCGGAATAAAGTCCCTTTGTTCGCGCGATCCGATTTTCCACCCCTTCGCTGGATGCGTATCTATGCTTCGCATTCGATCCGCCGGCACCCGGCGTTCATCTTCGCCTCTCCGCCTCTCTATACTCGTTTTTCCGCTCCATCCTCCCCGCGCTCTTTTTTCAATGATTTTCCCGATAAAGCGAAAGATTCGATAGGATTCCACCGGCCTCGATAGCTCTCCTCCGCTCTGCCGCGCCAAATTCGTCCAACCCTGCTGATGCTTCTTGATTGGCAGAGGGATGACGAAGGCGATGGTCTACGCAGTGGTCCATTTTTATGGCGTCTGGCTTGTAGGGTGTTTCTTGCGAAGATCTTGGTTAGGGGAAAATTTTGTAGCTCCGGTTGAACCCTTGTGCCGATAACGGAGTACCAAATATTGTACAGTTTCGGCAAACTCTACAAATCTTTTCTAATATTGCTGTATTTCATACAACATATATGAAATATATCGAACATATTCTTGCAATTCGAAGAAATACAGCTATATTATTGCAGAATCGTTTTAGGAGAAATTGACTTAACACTTTGCCGGCCGCTGTCACGCAGACGTGATTTTGCTTCAGCGCGGCACAATGTTCCACTATGCTTCTGTTTTAACTCTTCCGATCGTCTTTTCTCGACATTCTTTAAGCAGATGCTTGTTCCGTTAGTCTCAAATATTAGTGCCTTTTTAAATAATAAGAATAGCGTAAATATGACCATCAGCAACTAGTAGAACCCGCGCGAAATTCACCGGCGGCGAGAAATGAGCGGCCGGTAAAGCGTTAAGATAGCCATGTTGGCTTCTTAATAGAATAAAATAAGCTTGTAAACAGAATGACAACAACTAGCTATGAAACAAGAGAGATTCCCTATGGATACACTTTTCTCATCTTTCTTAACGTCTTCCCGCGTATTTTGACGAGTCGGACACGTGATGAAGATTTTGGGCCAAACATAAATATCACGAGCCAGACTCGTGAACAGAAAGTAGGCCCGAACATGAATATCACGAGCCAGACTCGTGAACAGAACATTTCTCTAAATATAGCTTTGAAACTGTTATCTATTATAAAATATAATATATTTATAATATTTATAAAAAGAAAAAGGATTAGAATTTACTTCCACAAGAGTAATATCGCGTAAAACTGACTATAGTACACGTTGGGCCTGGATTTCTTCCAGCTAAATGGTACAGTTAGGAAGGGGTTAAAACTGACTCCTACAACTGACTTTCATTAACTGACTTTCAAAATTGTCCTGTCTCGCCCTTGCACCCATACTTTTAACCATTCGTTCTGTTCTCTTTCATACTTAGGCTATCTTTCTCAATCATGCCCTTTCCCACGCAACCTCAGTGGCTGGGTACCTCACCCATTCTGAACGCATCCCTATACTTTCACTCGACTTTATTATAAATATTTTTTGCAGTCAATTCTCTTGCACACGGTCACCTTCGTTCTAAGCCCAAACACTCTTGACATTCATTCAAGGCCGCACTCATTCCATTCCTATATTATATTGGCTTTTATTAAAATTGGACGATAAGGCGGATTATAAACAGTTATATCTTCTACATTATAGACGATAGATGGCAGTACAGTGTAAGATTATAATTCAAGTTCGTAATTTTGTTATCAGCAGAAGCGATTGAAATTGGACGATAAAGTGGGCTAATGTTTGTTCGATAAACGGGGTATCCGGGCACCCTCATTGGTAAACAAGATAATTAGGAAACTCTGCAGACGATCGATGAAAATACCATTTCGTATAGCAAGGGATATAAAATAAATAACGATCTTGATCATCGACATAAGTGTCAAATAAAGAGAACCTTGGTCTCGTTTACTCGTTCCCCAATTTTTATCAAACGTAACGCTGTCATTGGTCGCTATTAAATTGCGCGATTAATTACTGAACCCGTCCTACATCCTGCGGAGCTAAAGAAGGAAATAAATCAGCAAGATTCGAGCAACTTGCACAGTTCTGCCTGTCCAACCTCTTCACCGGCAGGCATTCATAAATTACCGCTCTCGCAACTGCTGGTTTCGCGAATATAACGACAAGCGAATGAATGTAGGAGAGTAGGAATCGGACACGTCGATGGTCCGAGCATAGAACGAGATTCTATAAATCAGTGAACGTCGAGGTTGCAAAATCGCCAAGTAGGCAGCAGCGGCACAAGGGGGTTGCCTGCGACCCCAATCTCTTGTGTCAGCATCCTGGGCCCTCTATTTCCTCCGTCGGTGACTCGGTGGGCTCGAAGCCAAGCGACCTTGAACTCCTTTTCGTCTCCTCTGGCCGCGGCTATATTTGACTCTCTTTTTACTTAAGGGTGAATAGCGGCGCTCGAATAACCACCCGTCGCCCTTTAATGATCGCTGCGAGGAGCCTCGCCAGTTTCCAACGCCGCCATTCTTGTTGTCCCGCGGCCGACGACGCGCTCTTGCTCGCCACGTGTCAAGGAGACGTGTAATTAAAAATAGAAGGACACGTGCCGTGTAACAAGATAACCAAGCAGTCCACTGTGCAGAAAGAGAGTCTTTGTTGACGTTACTAAAATTGGCTCCTCGTTCCGTCTCCGTCCGATTCAGAAGCGTGATGGAAGGATAATCGGATTCTTTCACAATTATCTCTTGTATCCGTGCTTTTCGTGAAATATTTACTTAATTCCTTGAATCTTTGACCATACCGCGTGAAGAGTACGAACAAGTGTCGCGAGAAAGTGTCACTTTGAAATTCTTTCGTGAAAGGGTAGATCGATATATCAGCACGAAGGTGATTAAATTAGATAATTCTGGGTCATAAGAATTAATCCAGTCGTGAAATTAATTAAGAATTAATTCAGGAAATAGAAAGTAGAAATATCATTTATAGGTTTAAGAATTACTGGTTTCGTTTAACGATGATTAGAGGTCATTCTGGTTTGTTAATTAGACGGATGTGACTTCCAAGTCGTTCTCCATCATCTACGACTGGATGATCAGCTCGCAGAACGGCTGCTACCACCTTTTGCAAAGAGACAACATCCTGGAAGTCTTTACTACGGCGCAATATCTGGGAATTAAAGGTAAGCTTGCTGGCAGAAGTTTGTTTGAAATTTCTAATTATCCTAGATGGCTATTATTCTTCGGTGCGAAGTATAAAAATATCTTGAGAAGATTGGAACGATGTTTAAAAAATTCCTCCATTATTAATGTAAACTTAACATCAGAGAACAGAGTTTTCCGACATTTTTCAGAAACATAATTACATGTACCTAAATATTTTCAGTGTCTAATGTTCACAACGATACTCATCCTAGATATTAAAAATAAATACTGATTGCTCCAAATGAAATCGAGCATAAGCAAACCACATACCGCTTACGAACTTTGATATTATTGTATAGATATAAATTTTGCTTCATCTCTGTGACAACGTAGAAGATTCATGAACATATGACCCTCTAGAAATTAAAGGTAAGGTTGTTGGCAGAAGTTTGTTTGAAATTTCTAATTATCCTAGATGGCTATTATTCTTCGGTGCGAAGTATAAAAATATCTTGAGAAGATTGGAACGATGTTTAAAAAATTCCTCCATTATTAATGTAAACTTAACATCAGAGAACAGAGTTTTTCGACATTTTTCAGAGACATAGTTACCTGTATTTAAATATTTCCAGTGTCTAATGTTCACGACGATACTCATCCTAGATTTAAAAAATAAATACCAATTGCACTAAACGAAATCGAGCATAAGCATAACTTTGATATGGCATAAACATAAATTTTGCTTCATCTCCGTGACAATGTGGAAGGTTCATGAACAATGATCCTGTTTACAGCGTGCTTGCAGCATCGTTTCCCGCCTCCATCAATCTTCTAAAACGCGACTGCATCGCACAATATATGGTCGATGCTTTCTAGCACGCTTTAAAACTTCGAACTCAGTGCCGGGAAAGAATGAAAAGTTTGCAGCCGCGATAGGCATTCGGGAAAGTCTCGATGGTGCCGACCTCGAGTTTCGTTGAATACGTCACTGTCCAACTCGAAACTTCAATAAACCATATGAGATCCGCGGGAAATGCTGCTGTATCGTGTCTTCGAGCGGAACACGATGAAATTCAGGCTTCCTCTCGGGCAAATCCTTCGCTAAAACCTATATTTTTCACGTTCGGGGAACGTACGATAAACGTCGAACCACGCGAGAGAAAATGGAGATACGGAGGATGCGATCTTTTTTAATTTTCATAGCTCCCTTCGACGTTCGACAGAACTGGAAGAACAATGCTGGGCTTTCATAGACAACGACGAATTGTTCTCGGAAGACACCGCGTTTCTGTTGTACCTGGAGGCGAAGAAATTTCGCAACACCGCGGTCATGGAGCTGATGGTACCCAGGATCATGAAATTCTTCCTGATGCTGGTCAGCACCAAGGATTTCCTCGAGTTGACCGTGGACGAAGTGTGCCTCTTGTTGAAGTCGAATTACATTTCCGTCAATAGGTATTCTATTTCTAAATTCGATAATAATTCATAATTAAGGAGGATGCGATACGTTATCGCCCATTTATGCGTATCTTAATTAGCGAAATGGAGGTTCTCATGTCCGCTGTGCGATGGCTGATGCACGACTGGGCGAACAGGAAGCAGAACATGCTGGAGGTTCTGAAATGCGTTCGATTCGGATTGATTGCACCGTGGCAGCTGGTAGATGTGAAGAGAAATCCGGAAAATCCTGAATTTATGGAACTAATGTCCTTCCCAGAGGTGCAAAGGATGGTCGACGATGGCCTAGCGTAAGAGTGGCATTTCTCACAGTTTCTCGAAGAAAATAAAGTACTTGGTTTCTCAACTCGCGACCCTTTGCAGCTTTGTCATTATAAAATACTGGTACCGTAATCAAACGGAAGATTACTATCACTGGATCGATTTGCTGGGACTCACGGAGCCAACTAACCGCAATTGGGCCGGGGAGGACAAGGTTTTGTAATATTTTAATTTAAAATTAATTTTAATTTTCAATGCATTTTTAATTTATAAGTTTCCTTCCGCGATCCCGTTAATTATATTCCGTGTCTCCACGAATTCTCAACTATGCCGTTCTAAACTCGTTTCAAGAATTACGTGACGTATCGAGAATTTCTGCTTTACCTCGAGGAATATCAGAGAACGAAACTTTCCGAGTTCAAGATGCGGAAAACACGCACGAAACCTACCGTGCCTGCTGCCAACTCGTCTCACAACGATTACTCGTTTGCATCCCCCAAAATGCCGAATAACTACGTCCAGAGCTCGGGTACGTTTAAATTTCAAGCACAGGAGCGCAAAATGTATACGAAATAAATTTTCTGGCTTGCTATATAATGAGAATAAATCCCTCAGGCGACGCAGCCGCCATTCATAGCGGGACGACGATGCATTCGAAGCACCCGAAATCGATAGCGCCAAATTATTTACCACTGGAAATGCCAAAAGGCATGCCGATGCCTCCGAAATTCATGAACGACTACTTGAGCAACTTCGAAAGAAGCAGAGGGGTGAGTAACCCTGAAACGAGTCGAAGAGTCACGCAGAAACATCAAGATAGGGGTTGCTAGATGTAAAATCGCGACACTCGTGCCTTTTCTAACATTTTCGAGTCCACTTTTACCTCCATCGAAAGAATCTTGCAACAAACATAATCGAAAAGAAGGAAAAATACGAATTTAGATATTGTATGTCAAATATTTAGTTTATATATCGTATTAATATATTATACTTCGACTTGTATAAGAAAATATACGCGCATGCGTCATTTCGTAAAATATGCCTACGATACTTTAACCAATCTCGCGCTAATTTTGAGCTGATTCGGGGAGTCACTTGCTCAAAGTATAACGCTCTTTGTCGATGGACGAAGGATAACTATGGACATCCAACGGTGAGTCGTTTTGCAATCGAATCCCTAGACACCCGGCTTGCCCGTTTCAAAAGTTCCTCTGCTTCCTTTCAGGGATTGTTGCGCGGTTATCGTCAGAGAAATCTCAAGGTAAGCTTACGTGCTTGTAAGTGGGAGTGATAAGTTACGCGGAAGAAACGCCACGGAGCTGTAGTCAAAGGTCAGAGTTTACGTTGCTCGAAAATCCGTGCTTTAATTCCGAAACCCTTGAGTACAGGGGCCCACGAAACATTATGCACTGCTCATGGAAACAGCACTTACAGCGTATAAGCTCTTACCTTGAGATTACACAGACCCCGTAACAATTTAGTCTCTGTTAATTGCATTAAAACGGCCGCATTTGCGTCAAACTTTGGGATCGTTGGTTAAACTGGAGCGCGATGACGCGTTCTTACACGCTGTTCTTAAATTTGCGATTGAGCAGCTGTTGCTGGTGCATTTTCTAGCGATGAGAAAAATTGCTTTTGGTTTCATTTTCGATATCAAGATGCATACTCGAGCTTCGCAGTGTGAAATAGTTATAAAACACATCGCGATCCGAGGTACAACGAGTCTATAGTTAATCAAGCGACACGTTCGTCATTACCATTGACACTCTCACTGAATCAGAAGCAGTTGAAACGATTTACAAACTACATATGGATCGTAGACTACCTAGTTAGAATATCCCTGACCCACATCTGACTCAGCGAACACGTTGAGCTCATAACAATGAAAAATTAGCACGATCTTCGTCGACAATTTAACACCCGTAACTAGCTCACATACGACAACTCGATGCAACAAATTTTTCGGTATACCTAGTTCTTTCCTAATTCGGTCACTCGAATTATCCTGACGTCTTCGCGATACCCTTCATGTCTCGAAAATGAACAAACGGATCCTAAAACAAAGCGAATAAGTTAGATTAGGAGATTTAGAAATTAGGTCGATACAAAAATTCAACGTACCTAAGTAGTCATTAATCGTAAATCATCCTGTTACACAGCTCGACGAGAGGGCAGTGGCCTTCGACGTGAGGTTCACTGGAGGAGGAGAATCTCCAAAGCCCAGCTACAAGACTTTCAGCAGCGAGAAATACACGCAGGAACACTGTCAACGCGGCGTGAATTCGCCGGTAACGTCGTCGACGAGAGACCCAGCCGGCGAGAAGAAACTTCCTCGTCCAGACGAGACGTTTTCTTTTTTCCAGGACGTCGATAAATTGGATTACGAGAGCCGGCAGGAGAAGAACGCGACGGATGTTTGCCGGTGCCAGCAGCAGCGCGAGTCGAATTTCATATTTTCCGCGAGGAAGCAGCAGACGAGGTGTAAGATGCCGAGGGAGCCGGAAGAACGCACAGACTCTGGAATATCCGAGGAAGAGGCCGCTACTACGATACAGGCCGTTTACAGGGGATATAAGATTCGAAGAAGGCTCGACGAAGTAAGTAAATGCGCCTCGAAACTTCCTTTTGGATATTATTAAGCGTCTCGACATCAGCTTCGATAATGCTACCTATTCTTCGGTTCCATTGATGGGGTTTAGTCTCGAGAGAGAAATACGTTGCATCACAGAGACGAGTTTGGTAAAATGAAGTGACTCTTAACACGATTTTGTTTACATCGGGTGTATTAACCCTTTGCACTCGAGAGCTGCCATTTGATAAAATTTCGAGGCTCGATATTAATTAACCCCTTGCACTAGAGAGGTGACCATCACCATTTCTTCAGATTCAAAAGGTCGACGTTAATTAATATATCAAATTAAAAATTACCTAACGATGTGCGGAATATCGAAGAAAAATAATTCTATGTCTTAATTTGCATATTATTTCTCATTTACCATTTTAAAAATATCGTCAACTCTATGACAGAAAGTCTTCGAATTACTATTTTTCTGTAACGAAAAAGTCGTCGAGTGCAAAGGGTTAATAGATCGAATTTAAAATAATGTAACAATGTGCGAGGTATCGAAATTAAATAATTCTACGTGTTAATTAGTATACGATTTCTTATTTACTACTCAAAAATAATATAGCAGAAAATTGTTCAACTCGTACCCTCCTTTAGCCAAAAAATCATCGAGCACAAAGGGTTAAAAATCGTTAGACAAAATACTTTGGTGAAATAAATATACAGGAAGTATATATGAGAAATATGAGAAGTATGAAAATTCGTCAGACGTTTTCTGAACAGTCGAGAAAATGATTTCGATATACAGATATTATTAAAAATTTAATGCACGGGCTGTTTGGTCGCAACATTTTAGCGAAAATAATAGATAAGGTATCTAGAGCGAATTGCGAACTGCGATTTAGCACAAGCATCGATAGGTTTAAAAATTCGCGAGATGTTTCCTCGGCGGTCGACAAGACGTTTTCGTAAAGTGCAAACACGATCCGTTCCGTACATGTTGTTTCCCTAAACGGCAGATAAGGAAATCAACGTCGTGGGAGAAGCGGAATATCAAGAAGGTAGCGGAACTTTTGGCTATTCCGATGGACGAAACGCTTCGCAATCCCTCGGTAGAGCCCATCGGAATTTCAAGCAGCTCGGCAAACCAAATGAGAAACGAGAAGGACGAAGCACCGCTCCCGTTGACTCCTAGAAACAGAAATAGGGAACAATCGAGTCTTCGGAATCAGAATCAACGTTGCGTTCAGGATCAAACGAACAAGGTAAGAAATTTTCCTCTTCGACTCCTTTTTCGCCATACAGAGGTCCTGTTTATTCGAAGAATCCGCGTCTCGAATTGCAGTACGACACACGTGCCCTTTGTTACCCGACCAAGGATCAGGGGAAACAAGTTCCCGAAAATCTGTCGTGCCAACGGGACATATTGAAATCCGTCAGGACCATAAAGTCGCCGACGTTTTTCTCCAACTACGATGAAAGAACTAGTTCTCCATCGGACAACACAGACACGGAGGAGCCCTACCCTGTGTGTGCAGATTCGAAATCGAAGACCACGGTCGTCGACAATGTTGCAGACAACGAGAAAATCATTGAAACCGTCTCTCCGAATGACGAGGATGCGCAGAAAGTGATACCTGATGTCAAAAGTGTCCAGGTTCGACCTACGAGCTATAAACGACCTCTGTAAGTGCTATGAATTTGATAACGTTTTATATTTCCAACTTATCCATCGATTTCTCTCGAGATACGATTTTACTCGCGAAGAAAAAGAAGAAGAACGATAAAATTGCAAACTAAATGAAATATTTACAGTCCGCAAAGGATCAGCAGCAGTATGATAGGTGGCAACGCAGACGATTACTACTCCAAGAGTTCCTTGTTCTTTCCTGACAGGGAGTCGGTCCTCGTGTTTGGCGGCGTGGATCCACACAAGGAATATGGCCGGCCCGGGAACACTGGCAAGGACATATACAGGTTTAAACCTGACGAGAACATTTGGGAATTCGTGGGGGAAATTCCACAGGCGAGGCATCACCATTCGGTCGCTTACCTAAGAGGCCGTATTTACGTAGTGGGTGAGTCGAACGGTGACGAAACGATGCAGTTTGTAACGCTGTCAGAGAAGGAATTGCTCGTTTAAATGAAAAAGAGTAAAGGAAAAAATGCGGGAGAAAGAGAACAGCGAGGATTCCCCTTCCATTTGCGTAGCGTTTAACGAAAAAGACTCTTACGGTATAATCTTCTTTACGACTTTGTTTTCGTAACCGCGAAAAGAGACCCGTCGTGCATTCTATTGTGCGGAGAAAGATTTAAAGATTTAAAGGTACAGGGGAAAAAAGAGAGAAAGGAGAGAAAGAAAAAGCGAAACATTTTTCACCAGGTGGAGCGGATCCTCTAGAAGACAAACTTCACAGAAAGAGCATTGCGGTCGGAAGCGTTTGGAGTTACGATCCGACTACCAGGACTTGGTTCAATGAACCTGGCATGCTGACAGCTAGAAAGGACTTTGGATTGGTGGTCAGCCACGGGAAAATGTACGCGATAGGAGGGCAAGGCAGGAACGGGATGTGAGTGGTTATACAGATGGGGAGAGCGTAATTATGCTGCTGCGTTTTTCTTCGTTTTCGTCGCTGCTTATTTCTACGCTAGACGACTCTAATTGCGACTAATTTAAACCTTCTTAATTGTCATCTGCGTCACGGCTTAAGCGAACCAATTCGATTTACGGTTACGCAACGACAAGGCGAAGAGAAAACAAGTCGAACCAGTCCTTTCGTATTCCACGTTAATAAATAAGATAAGAAAAGATGAAGAACCCAGTGCTTATTCTCCTCGTTGCAGAGCTTTGAAGACGATGGAGGCTTTCGATCCGTTGGACTCCACGTGGAAAGAAGTGCAAGCAATGCAGACCGCAAGGGTGGGACCTTCCAGCGTGAAATATCGTGATCTTATCTGGGTCGCTGGCGGCATGACAAAATCGAAAAAGGAGCTATTCTCGAAGGACGTGGAATGCTACGATCCGATCAAAAATTTGTGAGCTCGATTCCATAGCTTCCAGTCGCTTTATGCGTTCTCTATTTCCCATTACCTGGATTAAACTCTCGATTTATCGCCTGTGCACGGTAAACGCGAGAGCTGTTATCGATGTGCTCTTCCAGGTGGTTGAAAGCTATGCCACTGAGGTCACCGAGATGCTTTGCTTCCTTCTACGTGGTGTCCGACTGTCTTTACATCATTGGTGGAGCATCGGCTATGGGAAACGCCACTCCGAGCATCGACAGCATCGACGTATGGGATGGAAACGATTACGTTTGGAAACAACACGCCAACATGTCGATCGCAAGACACGGACATTCTATTGGATCGATAGGTTAGTTATTAAGATGTTGTGGAACACGGAATATCCTTAAGAATCTGTTCTTCGACGATTTTATGGTTAGGTTATTTTTTAACGGAATAACATTTAAGTACATGGTATATAGTTGAATCACGTTGCATATAATACGAGTCACTACATAGTAGAAGCGAAATTAATATAAATAAAATTTTCTAAGGACTCACCAATAATTCGATGTACGTGACGTTGACTCGTGTGTTCCCTCTTTAGGTGATCGGTTGTTGATAATTGGAGGAGTAACCACGGTGTTCATGAAAACCTTGAATAGCGTTGAGTGTTATTGTTGCAACATGGAGAAATGGATGAAAGGCGTATCAGCTTTGCCACATCCTGTTTCCGGTCACGGAACCGTGTCTTTACCACCAGCAAATCTTCTGATAAATCACTGATAACTGCGAAATAAAATGCGTCACTCATCTATACGTACTGCGTTCGATAATCCACGAATTAAGTATTTATTCGATTCTTACTATTTGTATTTAACAATTTTTTAATTATATTACATATTTCTTATACTTATTGTTTTACGATTTGCACATTTTTACACGTGTTCTTTATTCGTGCGATATATATTGCGAATAAAATAATATCTTAGAAATTATCAAATTACCTTTGCTTTAATTGCGTAGAAACTTCGTCCGAAGATAATAGAACGGAATAAAATCCAATTGGAATCATTTAATAACTGCATATGTTAATAGAAATTATTTATAAAGGTTAAGAGTTGAAATTTCTTCCAAACACTTTTAGATACTAGACTGACCACCAGGTGGCAGTAGCATTCTTTCCATCCGGGAGCCGCCATCTGTCATGGGAGTCGCGTGTTATGAACCGCGAAGCGTGCGTGGAAGTTTCGAAAAAGGATTCGGATTCGAATGCGGCGAGGTAACTAGCCGCCGTGCGGATAAACGCGAGTTAACCTGAAAATGGCCGAATCGTGCGAGTCGGAGGTGTCAAGTGTAGTGACTAGTGTTGTGTCCCATGGGCAAACGAAAGTGTCTGAAACGTCGTGCCAGGAGGACGCGGAGACATCCGGTTCTCTCGGTATGTAAGCTTTGCTAGAATATCCCGTAGCAGTTTGAAAGCAGTTTATTCAAACGCAACTGTCGAGCGCGGCCATGCAACAAGTGGCACGGAGCGCTCTCGCATGCCGAACAGGAGCGTACAGGGAAATTTATGGGCCCGACTGGGCCTGTTCAGCATCCCGGTATTTTGTAGCTAACATGTCGTCGTCGATCACGTGACTCATCGTTGACTTATGCGACTTAATTTTCGCGCGTACGAAGTGTCAAAAATGTCGGCGAATCACGGACAACATTTGTTATTAGCTCAAACTTATGGAAAGTTTGACAAAAAATTTGTGATATTAGCATTCAAAAGCTTAGGTTTCTCGGTGACATTAGATGCATTGCAACATTGCATTCCTAATATTACCTTTTATCGATTTTTTTCTCTTCTTTTCTTTCGAAATGTGAATTTGTGTATTCCTGATATTTTATTTCATTCGGTGGGATTTTATTTTCGATCTATTTCGAGGATGAATTTCCACGTATTGTTTTATTCTTCGATATTGCACGCGTTCTATTGAAAATCGTTACGGTTGACGAGTTTAACATTACGTTACTGGTGGAAAGATTATTGCTAGACAGACAGGTGAATAAGGGATCGTGCAACAACTTTCTGAATCAGACTAATCGCACGAATGTTGAAATTGATCGTAAATGTATAAATATGGCTCCTTTAAGCAGAGTCTAATTTAAATTTAATGTATGTATACATAAAATTGACGAAGTTTATAATTGATTTTGTTCGTCGTTAGCGACGAGTTCGTTGGGACAATCCCATGAAAAAAACACAACGAGTTCCTATACCGGTTTTATTTTATTTATTTTATCTTCGTTTGACTGGCTTCGAATTTTTAATTTTCGTGGTGGCGCTGTTAAACAAGAAAGCTCTTAATGTATTATTTACTACAAGCATGGTTATAGGTAATTTTATAATTCATTTATTAGTTTTATCCTACATCTTTAAAAATTATTTTTAAAAATGTGATAAAAAATTAGTGTATTAATTTAATCCGCGGAAGTTGTACAGTACTCTTACTTATCGACGAAAAAATGACACGATGATAACTTATCCGTGATAAGCGGTATACCATACATTAGATACGCGGAATTTCACGTACATTATCTCTTTGCATTACTTAAACGAATTTCATTCGTATCATAAGTGATAAAAAGACATAAATCATAAATTGTATCTTCTTTTACCATACACCGGTATATTCTGACGTTTGTAAAATTAGATTTCCATTTAGTATACGTACATTGGAAATTAAACGAGTTAAATTATATTAAAACAAGATATTAATAGATCTTTATAAAATCGGTTTTATAACTAATCGAATACATGTTTTTTTACTCACTTGATTTTCATCTCTTGTAATCTATACGTCTCTTTAGAGAGGTCGCCACAAATTGTAGGTACTGCACTTGTTATATAGTCGAATTGCTTGGAATATATAAATATAATTATAACATTATTGCATTCAACAAAAAATATTTTATTCGTTTATTATTCCAACTAATGAAAAAAGATATTTTTAATAAATAAGTATAAATGTTTAGTAAGAATTTATTTCGTAAAATTGAACCAGATGGCGTAATAGCATCTTAGTAAGGTCTGACGGACAGTGATGGCGTAACCGTAGAATAACCTAACTCAGTATAAACAAAACATTCATTGTTACTGCAGAGAAAACAATTGTACGTTTGGATACGTTACGCATTCTTAAGATTAAAATTGTGAAACGATAGTAAAAATGTGGGAACCAATTTTAGTGGAAGATAGTACGTATTTAAATCTAGTGCCATCGTTAAGAGGAATTTTAAAGAGTTTGAATGAAAAGTCTACACATCAGGATTATATGGTTGCTTTGATGATTGTATTATTAGCAGAAGCTGGTTTTTACCTCTCATCGATAAATAGTAACTCTTCACGACGGTATGCTTCGTCATTCGATAATGTGTACATTTTTTAATTATTAATTGCATTTTTGTATATTGTGAAATACATTTGTCACAGTCCAGATCTAAAGTCTCTCCAGATACCAAAAGATTGGAAATCACAAGAGACAGGGGTGTACGAAATGTATTTTCATTTGGAGACTGTTCCTGATATAAAATGTAAACTACTTGTAACTACTTTAGGAAATACGTTGATTTGTAACTTTTTTTCTCTTATGGATGGAAGAAAAACTTATAATTTATCTGTACCAACATTGAAGTATGTTAATCCATTTGCAAGTGATATTTGTGCACGATATTTAAACCTCAAACTGATATCTCACAGGTATAATAAATTTATAACGATATCAATGATCTAAGAATTCTTTCATGTTTATACATTATCTTCTAAAATTATTCTATAGGTTTAAAGACACGTTATCCACTCCAGTGCGTTCTGATGTATTAATCAAAGCTGGAGTGATGGGTCCTAGTCTTCAAGCTCTGCCAACCGAGTTAAAGTTGAAAATTTTAAGATTGTTAGATGCTTATAGTTTAACAAGAATGGCACAGTGTTGTTCCGAATTCCGTGAACTTTGTTCGGAATCACAATTGTGGAAGGATTTGCTTCATAGGGACTTTCCAAAGTACTCTGTCACAGCAGCAATGCCTAAAGATTACTATCGTTTTAGATATAACAATAGGAAACGAAATCAGAGAAGACTGCAGGAAAGTAGAATTCGTACTACAATGTTTTAACAATAGGACAATAAATGTTTTTCAATTTATTGCCTTTTGCATTTAAACACTATTTTGTAAAATATGTTTGTAAAAAGTTAAATTATAGCAAAGGTAATAAATCATAACAAAGATAAAATTGCAGATTTATGTATAAAGAACGAAAAACTATACATTAAAGAATTTTATAATTTATCATGTACTAGAATGTGTAACTTATTGCCGTACATAATATTTTTCGCAATATTTGTGTATATTTGGTCAATTTATTTGTTTAATTTGATAATCTTCGAACTTTCAACTATGTAGACTATTTGCACGTATTCCAGGCTTCCAACTTCACGCCTCGATTGTCGTGAATGCATCGTTGCGCAGATATGATTTTAATAAGTAGTATTTATGGGAGTACTATTAAACTATTATTGCAAAGAATTAATTTCCGGAACATATCGTAAAAGCTGTTTCGTTCGGCATAATTACCAGCAAAAAGGTTTATTTGAATTTTCGAAGTTACGTATACCTGTTTTACCATTGACTGTACTGTATCAATGAATTATTGCAGTCATATGAATAATGGAATCACAGAGATACATAGTTTAAGCTGTATAGGATTAATACAGTCATATAAAAGATGTATAAACAAAAACTTGCGACAGAGATTCTTTTCTTTGTTATGACAATGGCTGAGAAAATATCAATGAACCATACAATGTTCTCTTTATAATTTTTTCTTTTTTATACTTCAAGAATTATGAAAGAAATGCCAAATATTTGTTATAGCAAAGTCAAAGACATATCAATTCAATAGTTTGCCATTTTGTCCTGAAACAGTCTTCTGTGGCTATATAATAGCAATTTTTTTTTACTGAAAAATGCTTTATATGAATTTATTGATCTTTAATACTGTATTAATGAGAAAAAGGAATATGGATCAAATATATTACAAATTCTTCTTATAGATTAGTATAATTAATACCAGCTAATCAAATGAATAATGTTTCTCTTTGAAATATGATTAAAAATGCGAAAACGACATTATTCGTTTGATTAACTAATATATTTATAAATATATTTAAGTATTTTTCTGTTATTAAAATCTTCGCATTAAGTAAATTTTCAAAGTAATATCTTTCATATTCGTTTGTTTGTTTTCTGAACAAACATGTTTGTATTTTTCGAAGCTAATTAAAGCGATTTTTCTATAGCAGCGGACGTGGAAACGAAGCCAACGGTGAGCAACGAGAGCTCGGAGAAAGAGGAAACCACGACGCAGAGCAATGGTGATACCGGTGAGTGATAACCAAGGCAACAACAGCTTCGCTCTCGCACGGCTGCGTTTCACTTCTGGTGCATACGTCAGATGGAAGCACACCTGGCTGCACCTATCGATCTGTAGCAGAAACGAAAATCCGTCGCTGTACGCCGTGGAAACCAGCGCGGTGTGCCTCGTGGAAACGATCGTCGCCTCCACTCCAGTTCCGAATGTTATCGCAGTCAACGAGCGATCAGTTAATTACGTGGCAGCGTTTAACGCGTGCTCGTGCACACTGTTAACACTCCACCTCGATTTCTCATTATGCAACGCGAATAAATAATTTGCCACGTGCATCGTTGTATCACTCGTTTGCAATGTAACTCCGTTATCGAATACTGTTGTCCTTGCGTTTCTGGTGATCTTACAGTTGCATGCGTGGAGCATTCATGACGTGTTTTCATTGTCTTCTTTTAATACGTATTTTTTTTATTTTATTTTCATTTGTTTCTTGTTATGAGAATTGATGAAAATGAAAATTATGCAGACGTTGAATATGTGAATTTTAGTTGACGAGATGTTGTAATTTATTCCAATACAAGCTGTTTTGTTTAATGGGTGGAATTTAGATGAAATTAGGTACATGAGACGTTGGAACAGAATAGTATTTTGGGCGATTTTTTCACGATATTTCATAAATCCGTTGGTGGGATTAGGTTGATCGCTGTAACAGTTAGACTGATACTGTGATAAATGATATCTTTCGTGGATTCGTGATTTTATGGACGCAAGTTCGGAAATCCCTAGTGATTTATCGCTATCTGCCGATTTCAAACTTCCATATTTTTATCGGAACGTTTCCGAGTTTTACACCCTTGTCACCCTTGTAATCTTACGTTATTCCCCTTTCTTTGTTTCTTCCTTAGATCAAACTCCCTCTTTTAATTTCTTTAATTAAATTAAATAATACAATACAACGTTCACTCTCAAAATTCCACTTACAGACGTTTACCTTGCGTACAATTTTTTAAATATTTCTATAAATAATATCTTTATTTAATAACTGTAGGGTTCATATCAATAATTTTTTCCTTTATCATAATTCAGGAAATACATCGTTCTTTATTATACCGATTTCACTCTCAGCTATTAGAATTATTTCCAATAAAACCTTGTCAAAATAACTCACAGCAATCGCTTTCGATATAACCCTTTTAGTTGTATTATTATAATTATCAATATCAGTAATGACTGATACTGGATATCATTATTAATCACGAATATGTGTAATATTTCGCATTATTAAATATCGCTAGTTTATTACGATACGCAAACATTAGTTTCGTCATACGTAATAACGAATCGCTGATCGATATTCTGTACGCCATTTTATATCTCCACTCATAAAAATCTGCAGTTTTAATCCATAAGACGCACTATTATACTCTTTGCCTCGTCGTTCCACGAATTTTCGTTCGTTTTCGTTTCAAATGGGTAATGAAAAACAAAAATTCCTATCTTGACGGTGCATCGACGATGTTCATAGCCCGATGCCCATGCAGATGTACATCGCTAATCCGCGAAATGCAGTCGGGCAAGTGGATTCACATGTTCCGTGCGATCCGCAAATTCGGAGGCTGCGTCGGATCGTTAGACACGGGCCGATTGATAATTGTTATTACGCCCCCGATACGGTGTCGAATCATGGCAGGAAAATGATTGAAACGTCCCTGCAGATTGGATTTGTCGCGCGCTGTCTGTAATGGATGCGTTCCGTGTCGTTTCGACGCTCGATTTGTGTTCGCCGATCTCGCGAAAATCGGCACGAAGATAGAATCAGAAAGCGAATAATTGGTACTAGAATTCTCTCGTACTCGCGAAATATCTAGATTAATTCTTTCGTCATCTTAGTTTTGACAGACCTAGTTCCTGTCATTGCGTCCACGCGAATATTTCAATTCGAATTTTTCTTTGACACGATATCGTGTTCGTTCGTTTCGTAAAATCGAATAGGGTGGTGATTAACCTGGGAAAGGGATGATTACTGTTCGTACGATGTGACTTGTCAAGATTGATATACTCGTTATTAATTTTTCTTTGACTTTGCTTTCATTGGAGCCTAATGGCGATTGGTATTTCATCCGATCTCGTTGTTTGTCGATTTTATATATAAATCTTCATTCGTGAGTTAGGTGTTTAGAGAGAAAATGGAGGAAAGTCAGTATTGCTTCGATGTTTATGTACATTAGAGTAATTTCCGTTTGTTTTCTTCTAATTTCTCGTATTCTCTGCATAGGCGCCGTTTAATGGCCGGCACATAAACGATAATAGTGATCGTTGCAACTAATCTGTTCCTGTTCTCTCAAACAATTAATGTACTTTTTGTACTTCGGTGTAGCTAGCTATTATCACGGTGTCGTTAACCTCGATATTCTCTATGAACTCGGCGCGATAATAAACTCGTAAACACTTTTATACACCGTGTCCATTCTAGCATAGTCGATTTCCTTTTGTACCCCCGATAAATGAATCACGATCTACGGAACGTGAAACCATCGTGCTTGTGCAGAAAGCAAATGAATCGAAAAATACGATATCATTCGAACAGTGCACTCTATAGTAATCGCTTAAATTCGACTCCGCTTCGAATTAAAATGGAGCGTATATTTCGGGCCGATCGTAAACACGATCGGGCATATACGCGAGATATCGTATTTCGATTTTATCCCGACAACGATGAAGGCTTGGACGATTGTGCCGAAGTAATTCAATTTCGGTATCATCATTAATTCGAAATAATTTTCGTTTATATTCATCGATAATATATTATCAATGTATAATATTGTAATATTAATATCCTTTATATAACTATATAAAATATCTTTACATTTACTCACACGAATTGTCAACAGGAATTGATAATTGTCCCACTCCATGCGTCACTCGAATTTATAATCCCATCGACATCACCATCCGATCGTTGTACGATTCTCGTCGAAAATTTCAGATCGGCCGCTACTTTGTATCAAGTTTTACATTTATTTCTAAACGAGCTGTAATATAAATGACAAAATTTTCTAGACAATCTCCTGATAAATCTCCCGATGGGATTTATTAATCGCAGCAATGGTGGAGCATCGATGTAATCGTTAATAATATTAGAAATAAATGGAAAACCCGCCGCGGCGCTTCTTCCGTGCTGCAATGTCGAGGCATCCTATTTAAATCGCGATACTCGCATGTCCAAAAGAAAAAAAGAAAAAAGAACGAAGAAGAATAGTGAGAAAGGAAGAAATAAAAAGAGGAAAGAGGCGATAGGTGTTTCAATATTTACACGATCCAGTCGCGCCGTCACGTACTAGCGATTTATCGTAGTCCCTTTCCCGTTTTCCGCGCGGACTCTGCGAGCGGTGTGACTTCTAATATTCCTGCTTGCTTCGCCCCGGCTTAACGAACTGCGAAGTTTTGGCACGAAACCGTCGAATGAAACCCGGCCGAGCGTAATCAGCAACGACGTCCGCCGCGTACCCCCGTTTCGCGACACTTTCGATCCTCTGAATTCTCATTCGGTCCGCTCGAGAGGCAATGAAACGAAGAAAGCAAACGAGCAAAATTTCTCTTCCCCCCATTACGAACCGTCTATTCACGAGATCCGTCACTCGGATGCGAGTGATTAGCCGGGCAATTACGACCCGCAGATTCGCGTGCGAGCTCCAATTACCGCCGGTTCCTAAACGCCGATTGAGGCGTTTCACCCCTATGCCCCGGT